TTTTAAAATTTTAATGCTTAAATTTTCGTATTTTTCTTATTAAGCAAATCTATGGTCATAAATTTTTCAAAGGTTCTTTTGTAAGTGTCTAGCTGATTGATAGTCCTAAGAAAAAGTAGACAATCAATTCTGGCACATATGACAGTTATTATCCCTACCTACTGACTTTGACTCCATCCTAAGTCCCCAGGGCAAAAAAAAAAAAAAAAAGACACAAGAACCTAAAGACCTCTCTAGAAACCAAAGTCAACCCTGCTGCAGAGGCTGACTATTATAGTTTTCTCTCCTATGAGGTTATTTAAACCACCAAGTATAAATTTTGATAAACAAAAATCTTGTACTAAATATAACTATCACATTCTTTCATTTATTGCAAGTGACATTCCTTCTTATTGCTATACAGGCAAGCTTTTTAAAGCCCTCCTTTACTATAAGCATTTAATAACTACTGCAGAAAATCAGAAAACTAAGAATTAAAGACTGTAATTAAGGTTTTGTACAATTTGATTATGACATTTTTGATAAATGGAGAACGCACCATGAAAGATGAACAAATGATTTGGGCCATAATAGTTATCAATTCCTAGGAACTAATTCATTCAGAATCCATTCTCCCAAATTTATTGAACCTTAAACAAGAAGAATAATGTTTAAATGAGATGCTGTTTAAACCATAAGATTGAAGTTTTAAGTACACTTTAAAAGCAAATTTTAGGGCAAAGACACTCAAAATTTAGATGCCCAGTCATCCCTAATGTGTTACCAAGATGACTTTGGAAGTGGCATTGTGGAACTTGTTATGTTTATGTCACAGGACTACATACAGAGCCATATGTATTTATGTCACAGGACTACATGCATATTGCCATTTGTAGAGGAAATTGAAATAAGAGGGGCTACCTAAACAGAAAAAAATAGAAACAAAACTACCTATTAAGACTATTTCTTATTATATTTCCAAATTTACCCTCCTTTTTATATCCTCTAGCTATATAATATTGATAAAAGTCATGAGAGGCCAATAGGCATTTAGACATTGTTTTATTATTTATTGTTTTATTAAAATATTTTTATGTTGTAAATATCAAAGATGCTATAATATAAAAATATATTTTATAATATAAGTAAAAACAGTTTCTATTTTAATAGTTTAGCCAAGTTTTTCATTACAAAGCAATCATTTTACTGACATTAACATTTATGTTTTTAAATTACCAGTAAAGTATTTTAAGTCTCTTAAAGTTCAATCATATTATTGGTAAATAAATGATAGCTAACTATATTGTGGGAAATATTACATTTTTAGTAAATCCTATTACTACAGTGCTAACTATTACTATTATTGGTGTTACAAACAAAGTTTATATCAAAACTACACAAAAACATTTTAGTGGTTCTACCCTAGAAATTAGTTTTATTCTATATATCATATTGTAGCAGTTTTCTAAAATAAGAGAAGCTTTGCAAAGATGGTTCATAATTCACATTTTTATCCATATTATTTGATTGAAAATTATGCAAAACAGTATCATGTTATCAACACATGTGAACATAAAAACAGCTAAAATCACAAATCAGTTTTGTCACCAATATAAAAAAAGGAGTATTCTGCTAACAAATGTAGTAATTATAGATCAAATAATAGAAAAATTTGACCTGGAGAATGACTCTGAGACTTGTTTAAGAAAGTTCTTGATTTTTCTTCAGGGAGTCTGACCTCTTGGGATGTTGTACTTTCTTTAACCACTTCTCAACCAACAATCTCTTTCCTTTCTTTCAGCTTTATTCTAAGAAGAGAAAGTTGGAGGAAGAAACTTAAGTTCATTAATCTCCTCCAAAATTATGAAGGTCATGAAAAATTAGAATCTTAGATTTAGTGGGAAGTCTGGAACTTATAAGTCTACAAAAATATTTGTCAAATTGTTTTTTTTTTTACCCAAAGTCTAAAAAGTTTAAGATTTAGTTTGGTTATATATGAGCAGTCAGGTATACATGAACTCTTGTCTGTGCATTTATTGGATGAATATAATTTGGTTTCATTTCCTGAGAGTGAGTCCAGATAAGAATGAGCATACTGCTTGCTTTGTGCCTGGATTGTGCATATCTCTGTGAACTCAGATGAACTCAGAAAGATGAACAAAAGAGAAGGCTAGAAAGAGAAGGATACCAGAAAAATGAATATTTATTTTGCTAAAATCTCTTACATATAACTTTCAAGACAAAATGGAACAAGTAGATACTGAAAAAAAACAGATTTTTGTTTCCCATATATAATGAGAATAAAATCTCATTATGCTTTTCTAATAGTAATTGACATATAGGTAGACTTTAGAATTGTTTTACTTAGAACATGAAGTATATCTGAAATTATTATTCAAAATTCTTGTTCATAATTGTCAATTATGTAATTTTTAAAAATATTACATTTTAAGACAATATATTTTATTAAAATATTATATTTAAAATATTACAAAACATATTGTAATATTTTAAATATTGACAAATCATTATGGGCAAGAATAGTATCTAAATAATAATAATAATAATCTAAATAATAAGTACACGTCCTTAAACAAAATTTGAAAGAAAAAAAACAAGGTTAAAATATTTATTTTATGTCACACAATTACAATTAGTCTCTAGAAATGAAAGTTGTCTATCTACACTGCTTGAATTCATCCAATTATATCTTACATATTTTATATAAGGTATATTTATCATTTCATGATTCAAGTTTCCACATATATATTATCTGTGATGTTTTTATGGCATATCCCTGTAATAATATTAAAATCTAACATATAATTTAACTACTGTCTCAATGATACATAAAACAAACAAAAAATCATGAAATGTCTCAAAAATACCAATACACTTGTGATTTAAGTCACACCAACAATTTCAATTACTCTATCAAATCAATGGCAAATTCAATATATTACTACCTGCCCTTTGAAGATGCTGAAATTATTTCTATTATTATAACAGTCAACCTGTCATCATCCCTATTTTAGAGATGAGAGACTGAGTCTTCAAGAGATAAATTGTGTTGCTGCTCATCCAACTATTAAATAGCCCCCTATGGTTTGACTTCAAATGTGAATACGTAATCTTCTCAGCCCAGCCCTAGTCTCCCTCTTCTTTTGATCTGTTTATTGAAAAATGCAAGGCAGTGAGAGACATAATTCAACAATGCAACATTCGGAGGACCAGTTTTCAAATTAAGCCCCCAGGAAGTGTACATGTACCAGCATTAATTTATTAATTTGCTGCTTTTAAAGCTGTTTAACATTTCTCTCCCTCTCCTCTTTTTTTATTTGGTAAATATTATTACTACAATAAATCAGTTTGGAAAGTGGACTAAAAAAAACAAACACAATATATTGTTTATATTTCTTTCAGGAAAACATCCAGTGAAATGCAAAGGGCATCTTATTACAATTCCTATAATCAAAACAGTCGTTTTGCTCTACCTGCAGGGATTATGCAGCTATTATATCTGACAGTGGACTTGGGTACATAGTCTTTTGTGGTTATTTAGCATTTTGACATTTCGACTAAGGACTTTTTTTAGACGAAGAAATGAAAGCAAAAGACAGTTTTATCTTGTGAAGAGTTCTCAAATTTAAGAAAATTATGATATCAGGCAAATTGCCTGCTGTAGGCTTCTTTCTTTGGCTTGTGTATGCAGTTCAAAAATAACAATCACAAATTTGTGTTAACATTAAAATTGAGGAACTGATGTTCTGAATCAGATCTGCATCCATAGCATATTGCTTTTCTCTAATTTTTCATCAATTTGCTTGTGGCTCACCTTTATAACTGATATATCTTTACTTATAACAAAATCTTACGTAGTTATAGCAATTAAAAGATGTCTAATGACAAACTTTAATGAAGTAAAAAATATTCAAACTAAAGTTAAATTTTTATAAATGAAATGCAATTAGAGTTTTAGAAAACACATATATAAAAAAGTTTCCTTTTTGACTTCATTAAAACAAATAACAAAAATATTTCATATAAATACAAAGGAAATAGACACAATAAAAATTCGTGGTTGTAAATATCACATTTTAAATGTCATATTTTTCATATTTTAACTAGAAATAACGAAAACATGCATTTATATTTAAAAGACAATTAAGTTTTCATTAACATAAAATTAACCCAGTCCTCAAAATTGTCAATTACATTTTTTTCAGTCTCTCTCCATATAAATATGATACAGATCAACAGAATTATAATATAGGTCAATAGATATAGGTATGCAAATAAAGATAGACAATGATGTTAGGTAATGTCACAGAACCCATATAGTGTTCTAAAATTACTTCAGCATCTATATGCAAATTAAATCTGTTAATAATTTTACATAGTTGCAACTGACTTTTTATCTATCATTTATAAAAATGGAGTTAAATAACAATAATATAAGTTTTGTTAAAATATGAATCTCTAAATTAAAATGTATTTGAAAATGTAAGAAAACTTAATTTTTTACCTTAATATAACTTCTGTCCTAAAATCCTTACTATATAGTTAATTTTAACAAAAAATTTCAAGTAATTGATAAACATTAATATTTATTATACTTCATAATTATATTATTTCTAATCTATATAAGCACTTAATATTAGAAAATTATTCATCTAAAACAAAGGATACATAGACCTCATGATATTATATACTAGTCCACATGTTTTTAAGGTGTATTCATTATAGTTTAATATGAGTTATGAAAATATTTTTTAGGAAAATGGTGCATTTCATATTTTAGGAAAAATGACCAGCAGAACAAATGTAATCCAGTCCCACAATAACAAATTGTCAAGAATAATTACTAAATAAAGTAAACCATTACTAGTCTATGGCACATAAAATCATGTACAAGATAACTTGGCTGTGAAATTACATACTAAAAAATTAGCATACTTTTACTTTTTTCCAATTTAAATGGGATAAAAATTTAAAAATAATTTTTACCCCAAAACACTCACCTACTGTCAGCTGTCCAGTTAACTGCCCCATGTGATTTCTTGCATTCACTGTTACATTCCTGTCAGACTGTAAGACCAGTGGGCTATCCTGGGAAACATGTATAAAATAAATAAATCAAGTAGAAAATATCACCATAGTCAAACACATATGAAATTATACTGTATTTCTGTGCAATCAAAATCCTGTTTTAAAATATTAGGTAGTTGTTTTTATATTTCAAACATTGGTTGAACAATACAAAAGAAATGAGTGCCTCATAGTAATTTCTATGTAGAACATGAATGTTTTTCTTTTTATCAATGGGCATTAACTATAAGATGCAAGCATTTCCAACTCTACTGATTATTGTGAGTCAAAAGGAGAGCACCTCTCTTGTTTCTCTCTCCTAGTGGCATATGCTTCTGCCTGCACAGACATTCTATATCCAATCCCAATGGGGATGTCCCTTTTATAGGTTTAACTTGCAATTTTCAGAATCAGCTTAAAAGACAGATCCTTAAAATTACCTGATCTGAGCACTGTCACTGTGGATTCACTTAATCCCCAAATTTCAAAATTCCATATATTTTGTTTAAAGCCTGTATCACAGGACTAATTCATTTTACTGGTGTTGTGTTTGTTTTATTTCATTGTTTCTCTCCTTTTCTTTCACTTGATTATATAACAAGAGGAAACATCCATGTGACAAGGACCATGGCAGTCACATGTATACAGTTACATACCCAATACTTAATATACTGCTGAAGGAAAGCATTTGTTAGGGGTTTAATGGGTGGCTAAAAAGTCTATATAAAAAATTGATACTCCCTTGTTCATATACCTCATGTGTAAATGCTCATGAATCATAGAATGATTTAAATAAGAAGGTCTGGAGAAAATAAGATGCTCGCATAGGAGATTTTCTATTGGGTTATTTAATTCTGCTTAGTTGTTGACTTGTATCACTAATTGAGCCCTTAATAGTAAAATTATTGAAAGGCAATCCCTAGGAGATTTTATATTGAGCTTTTGCCATCGTTTCCCTCACACAAATAACTTACAATTACCTATACTTTCATTTTTATGCTAAAATATAAGTAGGGTAATCATTTACAAATTGTTCATTCATTCATCCAATAAATATTTATTGAATACTCACTATGCACAATGTAGCTTTCTAGAGGTTGAGGCATTTTGGTGATCAAAATATAGAAAAATACCTGCCCTCATAGAGCTGGCTTTTAGATATTGAAACTCTGTAAAAATCTCTCCTGATACCATCCTCACACTGGAGCACTCTTGTCACTTCTACACTGATGCTGTTTATACAAGTTTATATACAAACCATACAAAAAGTCCTTCAAGATGAGGATTTGGAATTTGTGATTGGATACACATAGGAAGATTTTGTGGACTTTTTCCTAAAGCTACTCTGGGTCCTTATGACCAGATGCAAAGAGATCAGCAAAGACATGCATACACACACAAAAACACACACACACACACACACACACACACATTCATGCATATATTCTTGTGCCTACATGCACAATGCACATACTTTCTTTTTAAAGTGGATTTTGCTAGTATGCACCATCTAAGACTTGAGTTCTAAAAGTAAGTTTCCATGGCATGAAGAGTTTATTCATTCTTTCAATGCATTTGTGCTAAAACAACTATAGTTAATGTTATTCTCTTCATATATTTTTATCACAACTCAGTTTCTTCTGCCACAAGTCAAAAGTTTTGTTTCTGCATTAAAAAAAATTATCTAGTCTTTTTTTCATAGGTTCATCTATATATCTGACATTCAAGTTTTAAAATATCTGAAGTATTTTAAATTAATTCTATCATTCATTTTAAGTAATATGAAAATGTAAATTTCTGTTTACAGTAGAGATTGTTGACTAAGTAAGTACTGTTTGCAAACAGCTATCTTATACCCAGTAAGAACACTACTATCTCTAATAAGGACATGAAGATGTTTTGTGAAGACACATAAATGCACATAAAAGATTGCATTTAATGTTTGTAAAATTGAAACAATGCATTTTATAAAGTAGCTATAAACTCAATAAAATTTATCTGAATGAAAGAAATAAGAACTCTACAAAGCACCACATGGTTCAAAAAATTTCTTTAAAAAATTATTTTAATTAAATTTTAATTTATCTGCTTTCAATATTTAAATAGTAAAACATACATGACAGGTTAGATTTTTTTAATTGATGAGGTTATATATTTTCATTTGAATTACTATACATATTAAACATAAATTTCTGTGAACTTCATCAAAAATAAGAGCAGAAACATTAGTATGTATAATTTACAAAATATGTAAGGATCTTACAAGAATTATTGCTATATTAAATATGTTAAGATCCAAGAAAAGTCAATTTTAAAAAGCAATAGGACTTTCGTCTGATTTAATAGAGAAACAGACTTGGTTAGAATTGAAACTTTAATCACTGTGCTTCTTGTTTACATGATATCAATTCACTTTTACTTGAACCGTAGGGATCCTATTGAAGTTCTATCCCCGGCACACTTCCCTTCTCTTTGACATTATTCCACTAAATTTCCTCTTGGAATTAAATTTTTATATCCAGATTAAAATTTTACTATGATAGCACTAGCAATCTCTTTACTTACTAAAACTATAAACAGAGCTATCAGCGATAATGAGAAATTCTCTACTGTATTCATGCGAACAAAATTATATTATTATGCTATATTGATTTGTTAAAATGTGATCCACTGAATTGAACCAAAAACAAGTAACTGTTTTTGATAAAAAAAGTCAATGCATATAATTGCATCACTTTCACTGACATGACATGTGGTCCTTTTGCATACACACACACACACACACACACACACGTATATATCAACAGTGTGATCTTAGAACCATATTTGATATTTGAGCATTAGAACCATTGCTCATTTATCTTAGGTACAACACAATGACCTTTTATACAACAGGTACTCAATCCTAATCCAAACGCATGTATGTGATAAACTAAGTATAAAGAAAATGATAGCAACTTGAACAGTCATCTAATGCAGATATAATCCAAGGCAATGTGTAAGTTTGATACCAAATATATTTCTACAAGAGTCAATACTAAAATACTATAACTTGCCAAAGATATTGATATCTAAAAATGTTTTTCCTAAAGAAGTGAATACTCACTAGTCTTTTATCACGTGTTTATTTATTTAAATGCCTCTACTGATAAAATTACCACTAATTTTATTACTTTCTACTCTCTTTATATTCCTTTTTTATATTCATTTGTATTGTATTCCATGTGCCAAAACTTACAATGCTAGTATCTAGTTCTAACATTTAAAAATACATACTAGTACCCTCATATGGTTTATCCTTGCTGAGAACATAAAGTGGAGAAAGCTATTTCCAAATCAAGAGATCCCCCATAACAGAAATAAAGTATTCTAGAGTCTTCTGGAGCTGACAGCACTGTGGCTTTCATCTAAACAGCATTCCTACCTAGTTATGTACTCTTGAGAGAAAGCAGGCAGCAGAATCAGTGGGAAGGCAGTGTGGTATTCAGGGGCCCCTTTGTTCACATTTTTCATGTGCCCATGCCTGTCCCTTTGCTAGTAGTTATGGAAAAATCATGACCTGTGCTTTTCTTTTCCCCTTAATATTTTTGAGATAGGTTATGCAAGTAATGAAGGAAAAATAATTCATCATATTTATATTTTCTTCACCTTTCTTTATCACAAATATTTCTTATGTATCTATGATGTATCCAGCTCTCTGCAAGCCACTGCATTCCAAAGAGAATCAAGAGAGACAGACTTTCTTCTCTTAGGGAATTCAGAAACCGTTTGGCCATATAGACAACAAACAAGAAAGTTAAGCAAACAAAGAATGCTAGCAATAACAGGTTGCTGTGACAGAGATGTCTTTACAAACATATTAGTTTTACTGATGAGATGACCTAAGTATTACAGGCATATAAGGAATCAGTTCCAAGTCATTATTCTTGCCAGCTTACCTATTATGTCCTGGTAGAAATAGCAGTATAAAGAATAGCAGCTAGCATTGCCACTTGTCAATGACAGACATTCTAAATCATTTACATATATAAGTTCATCTACTTGTGAACCTAAACATAAACCACCATATAGGGTCAATAATGAAGTGATAGAAAGACAAAGAATGGACCTTCCCTGGTTATTTTAGCTCATGTCCTTGGTCTGTCAAATACTAGCTGTTTGACTAGGCTAGTCACCCACATTTCTGTTCCACAGTTTCTTCATCGGTAAGATAGGGTCGAATACATAATTTGTGGGCTTGTTAAGAGAATTAATGAAATATGAAATGAATATATGAAATGCGTAGATCGGTGTCTAATCTGTGTGGTTAGTACTGTTAGTTTTGCTTTGTTAGTTACTCCTCATTATAACTGTGGTGCTTCATTAATAATAGTAAAAGAAACAGTCTCTTCTGTTTTACAGCTGAAGAAACTGTAGCACTGAGAATTAAAGTCACTTGCTCCAAATCACATAGCTAATAAAAGACAGAGGCAATGTTAGAACACACCAATTTGTGTCTACTTTTCCCTGTCATCTACCATGAGATACTGATTCTCTTTGGGGTCATTTATTTGTAGGTTTTCTAAAATGTCTAAACAAAATCTAAAAATGAATAAAAATTAAATTCAACAGAATATACTTTAAAGTCTTGTTCAGTATTCCAGTCCCTAAAAGACAACCATACCCATAAATATATATACACACACACACTCCATATTGCCATCATATATATTTTGCTATCATAGCACAGTTTGCTCTGTTTTATTGTGTTTTCTCGGGTTTGGGATAAAGACACTCTTATGCAATATCCTGCACCCTTATGCAATATCCTGCACTGTCCTATGTCTATGCATCTTAGAAGGTCATCACCTATACAAATCATGTTAGTTAGTTCCCTAGAAGAATATCATTAATTAATGATGCATTTCGTCAGTGCAGATTTTGTGAATTTGATATATCCTTAATTGAATTTATAGGATTTTGCTAGGTAAACTTTCTTCCCTTCACAGATACAAATTATAGGGGTTTTTTTCCATTTATCT